GACTGGGCCTGATCACGTAGTTGTCCTGCATGTGCCATGTAATGGCACTCAGGATGATCTGCTCCATACCTTACCTGGCACTGAGGTCAGACTGACAGGACTGCAGTTCCCTGGATCCTCCTTTCAGCCCTTCGTGTAGATGGGCGTCAAATTTGCTAATCTCCAGTCAACTGGGACCTCCCCGGTTAGCCAGGACTGCTGATAAATGATGGAAAGTGGCTTGGTGAGCACTTCTGCCAGCTCCGTCAGTACCCTTGGGTGGATCCCATCCAGCCCCATAGACCTGTATGTGTCTAAGCAGTGTAGCAGAACACTAACCATTTCTCCTTGGATTATGGGGGGGTTCATTCTGCTCCCCATCCCTGTCATCCAACTCAGGGAGCTGGGTACCCAGAGAACAAGTGGTATTACTATTAAAGACTGAGGCAAAGAAAGCATTAAGTACCTCAGCCTTTCTCTCATCCTTTGTCTCTATATTTGCCCCTGCATCCAATAAAGGATGGAGATTTTCCTTGGCCCTCCTTTTGTTGTTAATGTAGTTATAGAAACATTTTTTAATTGTCTTTTATGGCAGTAGCCAGGTTAAGTTCTAATCAGGCTTTGGCTCTTCTAATTTTCTCCCTGCATAACCTTACAACATCCTTTTGAGTGCTCTGCCCCTTCTTCCAAAAGTCATAGATGCTCTGTTTTTTTCCCTAAGTTCCAGCCAGAGCTCTCTGTTCAGCCAGGCCAGTCTTCTTCCCCGTCAGCTCATCTTTCAGCACATGGGGATGGCCTGCTCCTGCACCTTAAAGATTTCCTTCTTGAAGAATGTCTAGCCTTCATGGACTCCTTTGCCCTTCAGGACTGCCTCCCAAGAGACTCTTGTCAACTGGGGTTCTAAACAGGCCAAATTCTGCCCTCTGGAAGTCCAAGGCAGCAGTTCTTCTAACCCCCCTTCTTACTTGCCCAAGAATTGGAAACTCTATCATTTTGTGATCACTATGCCCAAGACTGCCTCCAACCATCACATCACCCACAAGTCCTTTTCTGTTCATGAACAGATATATCAGGGTGCCTTCCCTAGTTGGCTCATTCACCAGCTGTGTTGGGAAGTTACCTTCCACACACTCCAGGAACCTCCTAGACTGTTTCCTCTTTGCTGTTTTGTATTTCCAGCAGAAATCTGGAAGAAGGGCTAGTGATGGTGAGACTTCTCCCAGCCTCCTACAGAATATTTCATCTGCCTCTTCATCCTGGTTGAGCGGTCTATAACAGACTCCCACCATTATATCTGACTTGTTGGTCTTCCCCCTGATTCCTACCCATAAACATTCACCCTATCATCACCATCACTAAGCTTAAGACAATCAAAACACTCCTTAACAAACAGGGCCACTCTACCACCTCCCATTCCTGGCCTATCCCTTCTGAAGAGTTTATAAACACCCAGTGCAGCACTCCAGTTGTGTGTATCATCCCACCATGTTTCTTTGATGGCAATTATATAATAGTTTTCCTGCTGCACAATGGCTTCCAGCTCCTGCTGTTTGTTGCCCATGCTGCCTGAATTGGTGTAGATGCACTTCAGTTGTGCAACTGATCCCGACACCTTTTTGTGGAGAGAAGCCCTAATTCTTACCTGACCATTCCCAGGCACTTCCATGATTTCTAGCCCATCAATATCCCTTATGTCTTTGCTATCACATAGCACTCCATCCCCTCCCTCTCCTGGGATGGCAGACTGAAGGACCTCGCTAGCATGCTGTCCCACAAACATTGATGTGCTGCCTTAGGTTTGTCTTTAGCGAGCCTGGTTTTACCCCTTTTCCCCTTCAAATCCAGTTTAAAGCTCTTTTGATGAGCCTTGCCAACTGCTGTGCAAAAATCTTTTTCCTCTCTTTGAGACAGGTGTACCCTGTCTGTCGCCCACAGGCCTGGTGTCGTGTAAACCAACCCATGATCACAAAAACTGAAGTCCTGCCAGGGACACCAGGCTCGGAGCCAGCTACACCAGGCTCAGGGCCAGGCTGGTTATTCCCAGTCACATGCATCAGTTTCCATTTTTTGACAAGCTTTGGCTTTACCAATTCGATCCCTGCATGCCCAGGCAATGTCTCTATACTGCTCCTTAGCAGTCCACCCCCTCTCTACCTCTTTTAGTATAAGGTCAGGACTCCTCTGTTCAAACTAGCCTCCTGCTATGCCTGCTTGTTTTCTTGGGGATAGTTCTTGTGCTTTCAGGAAGATGCCCTTGGAAATCAACCAGATCTCCTGCGTTCCTCTGCACTTCAAGGCAGCCTTACACAGCATCCTCCTTGCCAGTTTCCCAAACAAGCCGAAGCCCGCTTTCCTGAATTCCAGGACTTTTATTTTATTTGCCATCCCCACTTTCTTAAGGCACTTACATCCTATCATCTCATAGCCACTGCAACTAAGGCTGCCACTATCACATCCCCAACCAGTTCTGCTTTATTCATGAGTAGCAAATCCAGCAGAATGCCTCTCCTATCATGTATCCCACTACCTACATCAAAAAATTGTCTCCAACACACTCCAGAAATCTGGATTGTTTGCGCTCCATCATGTTGCCCTGGGTAATTAAGGTGTATTTACAAACCTATTTTTAACTTCCTCCCATTTGTTTACAATCTGACATTTACAACTGTTCCTCAGCACCGAGCTGACCACCAGGAAGTTAGAAAATTGCCCAAGAATCCCTTATGTTGTTGGGATGACTTTTTGCCTGAGAAATCTATTGGGTAAACTGTGATTCCTTACACTGCAACATGGATCAGAAATATTAGCTTGTGGCCTAGGTGGCTGGCCCCAAGCCATCATCAACAGATACCAGAAGCACAATGCAACATCTTGTGGACTGGACACAAAGTTGAACAAGTTGGCAAATTCCTACAAACACGTAACATGACAAAAAGGACTGTCTTGTGAGCAAGTCAACATTTATTGCACATAAGCCCTACAATTAAAAAGGTGGCCAAGTACCATGCTGTTCCAATAGAAGAAAGTGCTGGCAGTGTTACTAAAAATCAGATAAATTCTCGCCTGTTTGTAGTTCAGGACTGCAGGAATTCTGACCTTGATTCTGTGCCATAGTCCCTTTACACTGCTCCACCAGTACAAAGGGACTGTGATCCAGGTGGATCTATTTGGTAGGTTGTGACAGTAGGGAGTCCTGATTCCCTAATCCCCTGTAAGGGGTCTCAGAGCAGTTCTGAAGCCAATGAAAAGGTAACTGATACTTAACACATTAACAGAGAAAGGAAGATTTGTTAAAGCTCCCATAAAAGAAGCCGTATCATTAAGATGTTACAATCATGCACAAAGAATTATGCTGTACACTTGAAAGAAATTGGAGGAAGAAAAACAACACACAACCTGTGATTCTGGAAAAAAAAAAAAAAAAGCCATTGATTTAAACCTCGATCAATACCTGGTCCAGCGGAACTTCTACACAAGTATCTTCATCTTCCTGCACTTCAGCTGCCCCCCACATTTCAGACCCCTGTTCTCTGGCTTTGTAAATATCTTCACCTGCAATGGGAAAGATACAGAGTGGAAGAAGTGAAGTCCAATTGTGACACTGTGTGGCACAACTACGGAACTGCATTCAATTTTGTCTCAGAGCAGGTTTCTGAGCTGACCCATCATTCCCCATACAGTTCTTTTAGTGAAGTTTTCAATCTCCCATTATTGTCAATTTGTTTTCCTTTCCTTTTTTAATAACAAATACTTACATGCTACACTATTTGGGGAAGGGAAGAGGGAAAGAAACAGAGACTGAACAAAGCCCTGGATCTGAAGTTTCTTCACTTCTGGAAAAGGTCAGGAGTGAATCTGAACTTAATACATTATGACAACAACATATTACTTCTATTTCTACACTCAATGATAGTACCTTCTGGTAAATAGCATTATAACACACATCTAGCAAAAATCTCAGGCCCTGAATCAACAACAAACATGGTGAACTAGGACATGAGTAAAAGATTAACAGAAACAGTTGGGATTAATGTTACTCCCAATCTTTGGGCACGTACAAGTAGAATTATAGCTGAAATTCGACATTCACATTAAAAAAGCACATACTCCTAGCTGACAAGGTTAATGGTTACAATCATATTAAATTTTGCAAAGATTTTACACCATTTAGTTTGAGTATTTTTTTTTCCTCCAAGTGTAAGTTATAACTCATGATCATCAAAGTTTCTAATACAGATCTTTCATTATCAGCTAACTAGGAAAGTGAAGACAGGTACATATAGAAAACAAACAATTTCCAAGTGACACACATTCCTCTCTCCCTTCACCCCAAACTGAAAGCAGTCCGGAAATTAAAAGCACAGGTTACTCCAAACCATCTCCCTCTCTCGCTCCATCTATCTAGGAAAGACAGATGGTCCTATGCTGATGTGTTCATATCCAACATTAACAAGTAACTACAATAAGAAAGACAAAAAATATTTGTGCTGTGTTGGACTGCCTCTCAATTCTTCATAAAAGGATAATAAAATAACTTGATAATATCAACTGACCATGCAAATTGATCTAAATTGCTGGACACCATTAAATAAACAGCCCTAGTGTAGCACCAAACCAGCACCATTGAGAAGGAGGAAAAATAACAGATGACAAACCAAGACTTGGAGAAATCCGGATTCCACCTCATTGACTACTCTGGAGTTTAGTTTTCCAGTTACTTTCTCATCACTATGGGAGCTAAGAAAAGAGTTTACCCTGGGAACAAAATTCTGAGGCATATCATACCACTGCTAACAGCTAACTGGAGGGGAGATGCCAGCTCATCCAGACGGCCTTAGATGTCTACTTGCAGGCCACTGACCAGAGCACCAGAAATGAAAGCCATTCTCATAGTTTGAAATGAAGAGGCAGAAACGGGCAAGTCTATGGAACATCACAATGATATTTCAGAGTGGTACTGTTGACTGCATCTTAGGAGAGAGATTTTCTGATGGACATAGCAGCTTGAGTACCTGAGCATCAGGCCCACTGGAACCTCCCTATACCACCAAAAGATCTATACTACTTGTCCTCTGAAAGTATCAGTGTTGGAAATACCACAGAGTTCTCAGTTTCATTGGTGGGATTCTTATTCTAAACATCTCACATATTTTGAAAAAGGTCCCATCTTTATACTTAGCATGGAAATAATAATTTTCTTTACTTAATTTCCTTTTTTTGGCGGATTATTAAATATAATGCATCTATTGTAGTATGTTCCATTGAAACCAATTAAGGACATACAATATTTGCTGGCAGTATGGTAAATCTTGGACAGTCTACATGTACATATCTCATTACAGACCCCTTTGCAAGATAGGTTTTTTTGACAAATTCAGCAATAAAAACATGGAGCGGTGGAGAGTAGCAATAAAATGCATCTGAATGGGTGCTACCTATACTTTTTCAAATAACCAATGCACTTCACATTTCACATTCTCCTGGGGTCTCTAAGGGACAGAAGGTTCTGTTTCTCTTAATCGTTGCCTCTCATCATAGGCATTCAATTGTGATATAGATCTCCACTGTATTCTGAGAGGAAAATGTAATGTGTTCCTTGAAAGCCACTGTTGTGACTCTCCTAATTCAAGGCCTTCCCTTAAGTACCTAAGAAAATAACCTTGTCCTAGATTCCTTGGCTCACTTGAAAAGTCAAGTCAGCGTCTGAGAGAACTGCATTTAATGTCACCATCATTCCATTTAGATTCTGCAATAATACCTTTGCCTTCAAGACTCCCAAGTCTTTCAACCAAAATGGGGATTGTCTGGCCTTTAGAGGCAAAAGGATTTTGGTGTAGAGGTAATTCTCATCTGTTTTTTCTCTGGCAGGGCAAAAGAAGAAGAACAAGGGAGACGAACATGTGTTGGCCCTAGATGCCAAATCCACAAAATTCATCTCAAGAGTTGAGTATTCTCAATTTTAAAGCACCTCTCCTTAGAAGAGTAGATCAGCCTCAGGGCTACGCTGAATAACCCAGCACAAGGAGACAGATGTGCAGTATTTTCAAAAACCTTAATCATGAAACCAGGAGGGAGTGAGGGAGAGGTAAGAAGTCAGTAAGTTTCAACCTGGGTCATGCAACCAACTTTCTCCCATTCAAAACAGTGTATCCAAAAAGCTAGTAACATGGGGAGTCCAATAAGCAAACCCAAAACCTCATGGGATTTCCTCCAAGCACTTTCTAAGAGGTGTCTGCTCAGAAAGCTGGTCATAAATGAAAAGCGATTAATTGAAAAGAGCTCTGCACAACTTTCCAGCATCTCTCAAGGATACCAATGTTCACTGCCTTCCACAGAAAGTACTTTAAAGTGAAATAGCATCCCTACTCTTCCACAGAATGGAAGGTGCCAAAACTAGATGCCAGGTTGCAATGGGAAAGAATAGCGACCACAGAAATCACCAAAGAAACTTCAAGGACAGTGTTTTCAGACAAATGGGAAATTATCCCATTTTCAGAACAACTATATTATTTGAAGAAAACAAATAGTTAAAGAATAGCATATTTCAAATGTATACAACACAAAAGATCGTTAGTTGGTTTCTGAAAGGATGGCAGAAAAGATTTGTTGTCAGAAAGGAAAAAATTCTCTAAGGAAAGAAGAAAATTGACAACAAAAGGGAAATTAATTATTTAGCTCTGCACAAATGGGAGAGTATGGAAGACAAATGTCCAAAACGTGTACCATTAATAGTCAGGGAAGGATGAAAAACACTTAAGTCTGAAATGTGCCAAAACAAGTGAAGAAAAAAATGACACTAGTTGAAAAATGGGGAAGTTGTAACACTTGAACAAATAAAAAAATCCAAAGAAAATGACAAGGAATTAAATTAGTCTTACACTAGGACATGTACTGTTGTCTTTTGGTACAAAAAAAAAAAACCAAACAAAAAAAACCCCAAACCCAAAATTGTAAAATACTTTACAAAAAATTAACTTGATTAAATGGAGCATTAAGAAAATAGCTTAAAATGTAAACATTGTTAGGTTTGCTACTTTACTTCAGCCAGAAATATTTACACTTTTTGCATGTAAATTTACAAATATCTGGAGGAGGGCAGCTCAGTGAAAGGCCAACATATTACTTGTTTATGTGATTCTGTGTCTAGATCTTGTCAGCAGGAGTTTGCAGACCACATTAATCACTATTATCAGTGTTGTGAGTTACTCAGCACCTGCCAAGCAAATGTGTTAGGTTGGGTAATTTTGTCTCATATTTTATAGGTAATATTTCAGAAATGCTTTTTGGTTTAGGAAAAAAAAGGCGCAAAAAAAAATTCTTATTGATGCAATATTTCACATCTCTGTCTCTGAATCATTAGTCAGTTTCTATACACATCTCTAAGGGAGGAAAAACCAAGAAAGCATTTTAGAAAACGCTATACATGACACAAAAAAAAAACCCAAAACATTTTTGCAAGTCTTCATTCCATATTGTTATGGGTTTACATTGCAATTTCTATTGAAGTTAGAAATAAGTAGTTTATCCTACTGAAAAGAGAATTCCCAGCACTTCCATTAGGTGGAACATTTATGCCTACACCAAACAGTTCAAAAATTATTGTAGATTAAACACGTTCCTCATACAAGAGCTAGTTCTCACTTTCTGTGCCTCAAACTAATTGAGAACTGGCCACAGTCAGGTCATGGCAACATTGGGGCAGAAGAGCTCTAAAAGGGGGTAAGAAAGGAACGTGGGTCCAAGCCTTACAGACAAGCAGTGGCATACTCTACCCATTTTCTCCAAGTTGAATAGAATACAATGGCAGCAAAGGATTCAAGGGCTTTTTGAGGTCCAAAATGTCAGCTTTGCTGACAAGTATAAATCAGAGGATTTATTTCAGTTAGGTTCTCAGTTATCCATGCCACAGTAAATGCTGCTTCTGTCAACAGGCCAAGAAAAATATTATTGAGACTTTCCTGATCTTCTGTGAGCACATTTTGCTATGGTGTCCAGACAACCAGAAGAGACTGGAATTTTTCAGGTTTTGACAGTCACTGTGTGAAAACAGACTGTCTTGAGCTAAACATCACCACTGTTTTTTACACTGTGTACAGAGAGAAGTGAGGTAACCTAAACAAACATCTCTCATTATTTCTGATTATTTTAAAACAGAGTCATGTTCAGTAATTCAGGCAAGAATGTGAAAGAAGAACCCACAGAAAGGCAAAGAACAGATCACAAAAGGGAAAAGGCATTCAAGAGGAGCAGCCAACTGGAGAGAGAGGATATGGACACAGTAGGAGATGACAAGGGAACAGTAATGTTAGAAGGAATGTGTGGAATGAAGAACTGTACAAGAGCAAATAGAAAGATAAGAAAACACCAGTGGAAATTAAGGGAAGAAATTGAGTCCAACACACTGGCAGGAAGGCAGAAAAAATGGGTTACTTGCAGCAGAAGACTAGAAGCTTGAAAGAATCAAAGGGGAGGAAAGAACAAGCCAGCAGATACCCATGCCAATTTAAGTTTCTTGAAGGCATCTTACTTCAGGAAAGCCTGAGAAGATTAAT